AGTGGCTGCAGCTAGCTTGCAGTGCTGCATCCTAACCTATTGCGCCACCAGGGAGGGCCTAAGGTTTTCATTTTCTTCAGATAAATACCTCATGGTGGTATTGCTGGATCAGATAGAATCTCCATTTTCAGCTTGTTGGGGAATTTCATACCATTTCCACAGAGGCTGCTCTCACTGCATCCCACAGATAATGATCCTTTTTCTCCACACCCTTGTTCGTTTTCTCCATATGCCTGTCAACACTTGCTTCCATTATTCTTGCTAAAGGTCATTCTCACAGGGGGCAGGTGACCTCTCATTGTGTATTTATTCACATCTCCCTGTCTCTGTCATGTGCCCCTTGGTCATCTGTATGTCTTCTTTGGAGAAGTTTCCCTTTAGCCCTTTTGCTCATGTTTTAAAAATTATTTGTTGTAGAGTTGTATGAAGACTTCATATATTTCGGAAATTTTGACCCTTTTTATTATAATAGTTTATCTTTACATCATTTTGTGCCTTTTTCCATCTCAGCTGTGATCCCCGTGGGCTTCCCATCACCAAATCACCCGTATGCCATCACCACAGTCCAGTGCACATGCCCCCCCTTATTTTTGATCCCATTCCCCACTCCACCCCCGTAAAATGTCTCTGGTATATAGTTGTTCATTATTATTATTATTTTCCTCCCCTAGTTTTTTATGCTCCTGCTCTAAGTGAAATCACCTGGTATTTTTCTTTTTCTTTCTGGCATAGAAATATGTGACCATTTTAAAGTGAACAGTTCAGAGGCAATGTAATACAACCCTACTGCTCTGTTGTTCCAGAACATTTCATCCCTAAAATAAAGCCCTGTAGTGGGCCCTCGCTGGTGGCGCAGAGGGTCGGGGCGCTGCACTGCGCAGCTAAGCCAAGGCCAAGCTGTGGCTGCTGCAGTGCGAGTTCGAGCCCCACCTGGGAGTTGACCCACATGGCCCAGCAGACCCCCTCCTGTCTCACCCACTGCTCCCCTCAGCAGAGTACTTGGTCATTCTGCTCCCCGCTCTGTCTCTGGTGAATCCTCTCGCCACCCCTGCACCTCTGGCCTGTACTCCATTTCTGTATGCATAGATAAATAAGTCTTAAAATAAATAAATAAATAAAGTCTTGTAGTTGTTAAGCAGCTGTCCCATTCTCCCGCCCCTCAGTAACTGGAAACCAGCAATCTGCATAGTCTCTCTTATCCACTCTGGGTATTTCATGTAAGTGAAATTACACCATGGGCCAGCAAAGGCAGGAAGGGCCTCAAGGTCCACCACTAGAATGACAGTCAGCTTTTCTTTATCCAGCATGAGATCAAAGATTCCCATCGCAACTCAGCGACTGAGGTTAAATGTCTTTGCAGTCCAGCTCATAGGACTTCTTTATAATTAGGTCTGAGATGAGCCTGTCAGTGGTAGATGAAATGGAAATCCTTGATGAGATTGAGGATACACTGGAAGGTGAAGTGGCAGGTCTGGGCCCCGGGGCATTGCCTAATTGTACTTTTGTGAGAAAACAGAGCCAGGTTTGATATGTGGAGTGAGTGCATGTGCACGCGCGTGTGTGTGTGTATGTGCATGTGTGTGTAGACAGTCATCTGGAGCGCACACAAATTCCCTTTTGTGTTCAAATAAACTTTGCAGATCACTGTATACTTTGACATCCTTTCTCTGCCACTTTCAAAAGGAGGCAGGGCAAATATTCTACCCCAATTTAGAAACAAGGGCCTGTTAGCAGACTTGCCCACGGTGACACACAGAATGAGTAAGAATGCCCCCAAGCCTGCATGCTCTTCTCGTGACTGCACATCTGGCCTCCCTTGGCATACCCTGGGTATCGTGAATGGCTGTCACTGCTCAGGAGCAGTGACAGCAAATGTGCTTGTAGGCTTTATTTATTTGCTAAAGATTTATTTGATTTATGCATACAGACGTGGGGGGGCGGGGTGAGAAGGCTCACCAGAGACAGACTGGGGAGCAGAACAGGCAGAGCTACTGAAATACGCTGTTGAGGGGAGCAGTGGGTCTGCTGTGTTTAAATTTAGCTCCCTGGCCAGGGATCGAACTCATGCTGCAGTGGCTAGCAATAGCTTAATAGCACTGAGAAGTCTTATTGATCAAAACCAAAATGCCTTGGCACCATGGCTTAAAAAACAAATAATTTCTCATGGTGCCGGAGACTGGCAAATCTAAGGTCAAAGGGTCAGCGAGTTTGGTTCCTGAGGTGACCTGTCTGGTGACTCCCCTGGCTTATAGAAGTTCACCCTCTCACCGTGACTTCACATGGTAGAGAGCACCCAAGAGCTCCCCACGGGTCTTTTCTTAGGAGGCACCTATCCCATCAAGAGGGCTCTGCCTTCAGGATGACAGCGGCTAGGAAGTGGAATGGAAAGGGCACCTTGTGTAGTATAGGAATCTTCGTGCTCTGACCTGTTTGCTTTGAGTTAACTTCCCAGTCTAGGAGGTGCTGGAAGAGGGGTGAACACCATTGCCAGTGTCCCAGAAGGAGTGGAGTGCTCTGAATCCAAATACCAGCAAAGATGGGGCGCCATCAAACTCCCAGAAGTTGTTAACCGCCTGGAGTGAAAGCCCAATCACTGAGAGGTGTCTGTTTAATTTACTGTCAAACAGCCAGTGAGAGATGAGGTGATAGGACAGTTTCTTTGGAGCACGATTCCCCCTTTCTCAGATTAGCTGGCCGATCTAATTTAAGCATGTATGAAAGATTCAATTCTTGTCCCTTGCCTTTTTCCGCTTCATAGCACGTGGGTGGCAAAGACCCGGGAATTTCCTGCCAACAATGACCTCATCTAACTCTAATTATCTCCCAAAGGCCCCATCTCCACACAACACACATAGAGGGTTGAAGCTTCAACATACGAATGTTTAGGAGATACAAATCTTGGGGAGCCCATCTCTTCCCTATCACTGGTGGGGATCACACATTACAGACAGCGAGGCCGTGGAAAATTGTCCAAAAAAGCAATTCAGACTCACTCTCCCAGAAGGGAGTGGGGGTGGGAGCAGAGAAGGAGGACAAAACTCAGAGTAGAGGAAGTAGGGAGAAGGTTGCTAGATTTAGCAAATAAAAATAACAAATGTCTTGTTAAATTTGCATTTCAAATAATGAATACTTGTTTGATATAAATACATGCCTAGTTTGGGATCTACTTATACTATATATATTTACTAAATACACATATATTATAAATATATATATTTGGCTTTATGTCTGAAAGTTACACTTGGTGGTCTGTATTTTCATCTGGGAACCCTAAAAAAGAGAGTCCGAGCAATTTTAGGCAAGTCAGTGGGTTACAGGAGGGACTATTGCAGCATTTCTAGCCTTCACATATTTAACTTTTAAGTCGTGTTTTTTGGGGGTGGGTGATAAAATTCACATAACCTAAAGTTTACCCTTTTTTAAAGATTTATTTATGCATACAGAACTGGGGTGCAAGCCAGACGGGCGGGGCAGTGAGAAGATCCACCAGAGACAGAGTGGGGAGCAGAACAGGCACTTGGACGAAGCACACTGCCGAGGGGAGCAGCGGGTGAGACAGGAGAGGTGTTACCATGTGGGTCACCTCTGGGGCAGGCGGGGATCGAACTCATGTGGAAGTGGCTTTAGTTTCTCAGTGCTGTGCTTTAACCCGCTGCGCCACCAGGGAGGGCCCAAGTTTAAATTTTAACCATGTTAAGTGTCCAGCTTAGTGGACTTAAGTTAACAGTCACACCGTTGTACAACCACCATCACCACCCATCGGCAGAACTTCCTCATCAGCCCAAACTGACCTGTCAAAGAAATTGGATAGTTGTTAAAGTGCTAAAAACAGATTTTTATTCAGGACTTTGCAACAGCAGGAAGAGACCTCCGCAGAGAACTGGAAGCGGTTCCAACGCTCGTGGAGAGGGACTCAGAGCCCAGGGGTAGGAGTCTGCGGGTGGACGATCACTAAGAAGGTAGGTAGGGTGACTGCTACGCTGGCTTAACAGGGTTCTTGCAGAAGGCTTGTCGGGGTGACCAGGTCTCGGGGGGATGAGGAACCTAGTCAGAGA